TCAATTTAGAGCCGCACGTCGAAGCTGTAACAAGATTGTATCGTACTTACATGGGGAGGGAATTTACTAGATTTAGCTGCTCGTAGAATTTAGCTGCATCAGACCCGTTAACTATTTAATGAGGTATTCGGCCACGAGAGAGGCTATCCCATTACTCTCATAGTTGGCCTTCGATAGTTGGCGCTTAATGCCTGCTGGATATTTATTAACATTTTGCATGACCGCGTGTGCGCATTGGCGGAGATTCATCTTACGTACACGCGGAAACTGTCCTCACCTCCGGGACCATTAACGGTACCACAAGCATCGCAGGACGTATCTTCATAATTCACAGCGTATAAAAGAACCGCGTGTATAATCATGCAGTGTCTAGATCGCGATAATCATTCGCGAATATAATTTATTTCCGAATTGTCCGTGTATATTTACGCGGCGTATTTATTACACTTCATACTTTTTGTATATCCTTCTTTTTAGATTTAATAAACGGCGCGACTTTAATTCAACGCGACCTTTACGTTTTACGACGTTCGTGTTAATAGTCACTTAACCTAGTAAACACTTTAGGGATTTTCTCAGGTTACGCGACGTGACCACTTAACGTTTATGCGAATTCACGAACACGCGATTTTAGCATATTTCATTATTTCACAATATGCATGCCACTGGCATTCGCCTTTTTGTTATTTCGAACATTTATTTGTATGGCCGGTGTTTGAGTAGAGCGACGTGATAGGTCGATATGTGTTGAATAGAAACTTGTCCAGTTGGTTCAATAGCCCGAACTGGTTAATTGTTATGTATTATACGTTCGGTTTGTAGACCGTGACATCTGTGATACGTTATTAGAGACGTTGTTATACGTTATTAACGTCCACCTGATATGTTATTAAACATTTATTAGAATTTTACTTTCAAAAGTAATTTTTCATAGATTTTGTTAAAAAAAGGATCGAAATAAAAGTAGCAGAGAATTTGTTCCATTTCTGTATTAATTAAAGAGTTTTCTAGCTGCGTTAATTAATTAGCGCGATAAAAATCTGTATCTAAGTTATTATGCCGGAAATATATAATGCAATAATATTGCGTCAATCATACATAATACAATCGCGTGATTCGTAATTATTACATATTAATTAAGACAAGATTTAGTTAGTTCAAAACATGCTGACTGATTTTTAAACAAATTTGAGTAACGAGCTCTTCGCTGGTTTCCACGGACTTTCTTTTGGCCTTCGATTTCAATGACTCCCTTCGTTACCGGCTCTTCCTTCTGCTCATTAGCGAGCGTACATCGCGCGAAGGTTCTTGAACTACGGCTAATTGTTGTGGGAACTACGATACTCTGTAGTGTTTCCGGACGAGAAGACGTGGATGCCGCGTGATTTTCAACGCGACACCATTCATTCGCATTTTGTTACCCTGAGAAATGTTAATTCTATGTCTCGGCACGTCGTCCGACCGTCGCGAGTCATTACGATCGTTTTATTACGCGACGTAGGATCGTTTTCTGTGCCGTTGCGATCTCCGACGAACGATCGCGCGTTTATCTCGATGGAATATCGCTCGCTGGCGAAATGCAGTCTGCAAATATAATCCCGCTGAACGGAACAACGATCGAAATTATCTCGCGCGATAAGAAACTCTAGATTTAAACAGTAGTTGATATCATTTATGTACAATGTCGTTCGCGCAATCGTGACTTTGAGGTCGGCATGATTAATCGCGCTGATAAGCCAAGTGTCGCTGAAGCAAAATGTATATTGAATTAAAGGTCACCAATGCGCTTCAACGAGATGTTGCATCTCAATCTTAAGCTGAATCTATCGGCAGATATTGGATGTAAGCCAACTTCCGACAAGTGTGATCTATTAGATAACTCGCGCGTGCATTCGTATTAAAGAAAGAGCTGTATTGTGTCAGGAAGAACGAATTGTGCTGCTTACATGGCAATTAAATTCGATGCAAAAGTAATAATAGACCATGTAGAATAGCATTTAACGATACAGATGAGAGTCAAATAGAACAGTAAAACATAATGCAAATAAAAAATTATTTGATACCAATATTTTTTATCTAAACTTTATAAAAAATATATTTTTCACATTTATATTTGAACTTTTTTATTGATTAAAATAACATTAACTATTTTATTTGTTTAAATAATATTAATTTTTTTACTGATTTTTTTAGCATTAAAATCCAGTGAAAAATAAATTTATTTTTTACAACTAAAATTATATATTACGAAATATACTAGAAAATTATAAAAGCTTATGTATAAGAGAGAGTCAGCAAGAAAAGTGAATAAAAATATCGACAGATATTGGAAATCGATAATCGGGCCGATAAAAAAACAAGAGTAAGATTGATATCAAAAACAAGTTGAACTTTACTTCAAGACACTCGTATTTCGCCGGCGTTTGTGATTGACGACTGCAGTTTTGGAATGATTGCCGAAGTGCATTCCTCGCGTGTTTATGCGTTCATGACGCAATCACGGAGCATCGCGGCTACGAATGCTCGATTCGCAGTTCTAATCTCGGTCGGATTACGAGTGTCTGCGTACTCCTTGAAAGGGAATAAAATGCGTGGAGCAATCGTATCTACGTGCGAATGCGCCGAATGAGCGTGGCTTGTACGTGGAGGCCGGCTGGTTGGCGCCACACGGACCGATGTATATCGAAGCAACGCGTAATAAACGTGATATTATACACGACGATATGGCGTGTGCATTACGCCCGCTACAACGATGAATTATATCCTCTTCGTGTAATCGCACAATGAACCGGTTACACCGCGAAAATCGGCGCGACCGGAGAATCGTGATTACCCGCCGGAATGAAAATAGCAATTATTTCAGCCGCATCGAAGGGCGCTTCTCCTCGATTGATCGAACAGCCTCCGGTGTATTAACGCACGATGCACTTATTGCTTTGTTGCACGGAATACGCGAAGGTCGATATGTCAGTGTGTCGCACCGAGTATCCGAGAGAATTTATCTCAACGCGTTGTTACACAACAAAGCCGCGCTGAAAGCAATTTAATAAAAAATTAAACTTTTTTACTTTTAATTTTAATTAATTTTTTTAATTTAATAATAAAGAAATTGGCATAAAAGTTTATGTTACTTTGATAAAAAAAGAACTAATACTATTTTAATTTATTATGAAAATATAAACGTAAAAAGTATATTTATTTTTAACAAATAATAAACTTTGACGGTCAACAATTAAAATATTTCAGAAATTTTCGAAATTACTCCAGAGACATTTTAGATGAGATGCGTTCGTGTGTGTGCTTTGTCCCACGGCAGTTAAACAATTTCCTTTTATCGTGCTTCGTGCGGCACGAAACGTTCGACGGCGACACGTTATTTCGGATGCTGCGCCGACTAGAACCGTTGCCAGGAAAATAATCACCTACGACACACGTGGGAGAATCGATCGTTAACTCGTTGTGAGCAGAGAGGTACATATGTACTTAGGCGTAGGACTAGCTTAGCTCGTGGAGGCAGTCTCGTACGTGCGCTCTCATATTTTCCAACGTTCCGTTTATTGAAATTGCTTTCCCTGAAGCGGGCTAAAATTAGGCGCAAATCGACAACGTCGTCTACGGCACAATTCAATTTCAGCTTATCACAGGTTAGCGTGATTGTGCGGAATGTAGACACCGCAATTTCTCATGGAGAGCGCTTCGAAACGTAAAACTGATCATTACATGAACGACGATTTTGATGCATGCAGGATTTAATATCTGTGATACACGCCGATGATCATTCATCAGTGTCAAGTGTGTCGTTGTTTCACGCGAATGGAAAATTTATAATGACGCGTCACGTTCGCTCTTAATGTTTTTCCATCATTTGACTAATGAGCATTTAATCGGTTTCTACTAGTATCAATTGGCGGAAAACGATCCTCGCGGTATTCCACAAAAAGAGAGCCGTAAGCACGTTCAAGACGTTGCATTAATCGTCACTGGTACGATGAATATAGGTACGTGTCGTGACTCGTTTGTAATTGCAGATGACGTCACTATTTATAGATCTCGCGTGGTCGTACAACGGATCTCAGAGCTAATCTTAAATTAAACGGTTTTATTTTGGAAGAACACACAAGCTAATGTATTTTCTTTGCACGTTCTTTACATATTTTAATTCTGAAATAATCTATTCTATAAATTAAAGTCAGATAATTGCATTTGTAGTTTTCCAAAGTATTTGTAAAATCCATATCATTATTAAAGTTTAAAAAAATAATAACACAACATTAATAATAAAGTATATTGCAATATTATCAAAAATTTCTTTTAATATTTCTTTTATTAAACGTATTTTTTAAAATAATATTTTAAAATAATATTTAATCATGTAATATCTTGATAAATCTAATATTTATCATTAATATTTATTCTACTAATATTTGTCTGTTATGTGAATTCTTTACGCATGTCAGCGTACAGAAGTCGTGGTTCAATCTTTTCCGGATCGACATTCATAAGTTCAACTCGTTCGGCCACACACATTCAGACGTTCTATTTATTCAACCTGGTTGGACGCCGTGGTTTCTAATCATTTGATTCGTACGTCTTATATAGTCTACCTCATTTATATTATATCCTTCATTTATTAATATCTTACGAAAATTAATAAATATTCTTTCAATCTAAATATCTTAAATTTTACTTAGCAATAAAATTATTTTGTTAAATGAATGCATCTTTCCTTAAAATATTTGCGTACTCTTTTAAAAATAATATTCAATTTCCAATACTTTTATATAGCGTAGGATATCTGAATTTTTCGCACAAACCTCGCTTACAAAAAAGATATGATTTTCGAGTTTATCCGTTTGTAAATTTTATCTCATTCCATCGTACAGATTGTACGCCAGTCGAATAGCTTGTTGTTCCGCTATTATTCACGATGTATTTATCGAGAAATTGCATGACTGCACCGTGAAACACATTCGTAGATGAAATCAGACAATGCAGATTACCTTTCTCCGATGACCTTTTTGATCTTTCCGCCTGTAGACTTTTCGCACCGCCTCTTCCGCCTTTCCTCGCTGTCTCTTCTTCGCGTTCGAAATCTCACAGTTCAACGAGCATAATAATTTCTGATCGAAAATACGAAGAAGTGGCACTCGCGCTTTTCCGCGGAGAATTAATCTCAAGATACCGATCACTTTTTCGCGCGCACGATGAAGGATCCTTGTTGCGCGATAACATCGATCACGGGAGAGAGAGCGGAAATCAATCGGTAGAATCGCTCTTTCTCTCTCTCTCTCTCTCTTGCTTCCTTTCTCACTCTCTCACACACATACGTGCGCTGCTTGCGAGTTACTACGCACACGTACGCACGCACCTCGCGAGCGACCGATCGCGCGCGAGCTTCGAAAAGCAATGCAAGCGCGAGCGACACGCCGAGCTCTCGTTCCTTCCTACGTTCTTACTCGCACACGTCGAGTTCCCGGCTCGTGCTCTCTGCCTGTCCCTCTCTCCCTGGGCTTTCCCTGTCGGTCTACCTCGTGGTTTTGTTTCTCCCTCTCACTCCGCTGGATGTACACTCGTTCACCGTCGTTCGTTCTCACTCTCCTCGCTTCTCTCTCTCTTGATCTTCGATACCGATATGCGTCTGTCTTCCTCGCTTCTTCTCTCCGTCGCTCTCTCGGCAGAACGCGGCTATCTTCGTCCGATGTTTTCTGATCTCCCCATTCGCATTCACCTTCTCTTCCTCCCGGTTACAAATCTTTCGATCTTTCCCGCTCCCCGTTTTTCTGAAATGTTCGCAGTCTTTCCCGATTCGTCCTTGTCTTCCAATCGATGCCGCCTCGATTGCTCCAATTCAATTTAATCCTTTCATTTCCTGCAATTGAAGTCTGAACAGAATAAGGATATATGGCAATACATGATTTTCTATCGGAAACTGGTTGTTGATCGAAGTAACGCCAGATCAAATAATACTTTTCTCGATTATATTTTCTTTAAATTTAAACTACATATGCCATATACTTTTAATCAAAACTATATACTAAATTAAAGAAAGGAGAGTTTAAATAATTTGTACAATTTGTGTATATTTGTGTACATTGTTTCGTAAGCTGCGTCGATTCATAATCAATTGATTGATATTCGATTTGCTCTCCGTCGTATAGGTACATATTCCATCTTGGTAAAGACTTCCTCGGTTTATTCATAGTCGGAACAAGTTTGACAGTATGATTCATAGAGGTTACTTCACTTTCGAAGATAACCTTAAAATCATTCATCACTTTAGTTGTGAACGAGCACTTATTTTGACAATTTCAGCGTTGCTTCTCATGCTATTTGCAAAAAGTGTGGCATATTTTATTAAACTTCTTTCACTTTAAAGATGATTGAGAAAGAATTGATTTAAAATAATATCTTGAAAGCCATCTTGAAATCCTACTGCGCAATTATCAGACGTTATATTTATGTTATAAGGATAAGCTCTAAATCCTGCCTATGAATATCGCCTCGAACGTCTATCGCTTCGTCTTTTTCTCTCTCTCTCTCTCAGTCTTGGCGATGAGAGCTTTACCTACCGCACTCTCTACCGCATCGCGTCTGTTGCCTAGAGTCATGTCTGTCAGCTTCGAGATCTCTTAGCTATCTCTCCGCCGCGAGAGCTGCCACCCTTGATCAGACATCTTCCCGTTTTGCTTCGCCGTCATCGTTGCATTACTTTCCTGCTCATTCTTTCTTCACCTTCTTCTGTTACTTCACGATCAAGACATTTGCTTATCTCTCGCCGTCGCAATTTTCGCTCGCCGTCAGTGAAAATTTAGTTTCCTTCCAGGATAATTATTTTAAAAAAAAAATTGTTATTATTATTTTTGCAATAATATTAATATTTGCAAATAAATGACGATATCAAGATTTTTTTAAATGGCTATTCTTATCGCAGTTTCTCTTTCTATCTGTTTCTCGCAATCGCACCTCCAGCTGTCCGTCGTTTCTTTTTCAACAGAACCGATATGCGTCTGCAGCGGTGCTCAGAAGGCACTTCTTTAACACCCACGTGTTGGAACGAACATGCGTTCACGCGAACAGATTGAGCACTCTTATATCACGCCGTACAACATCGCCGGAGATTGGATCCGGATACGGCCGTTCAACGAGCCAGGGGGGCGAGATACTAAGCAGCCACTTCCTTTTTTAAACCGCCGTTTGTAAACAGATCGTTAAGGGCAAAACACGCGCCGTTTTAGCAGTGATTCCGTTTTCGCAGCGGCAAAAAATTTATTGCTCGTGCGACAATGGTGACTAACACTCCACTAACATCTCACAAGGTGGCTCAAACTGAATCATCCGATGCAAAATATACAGTGAATGATTTAATCCTCAATCAGCTCGTAACATATACAATATTTGGCATATTTTAATACAATCGTATTTCTGTAATTATTTTTTAAAGATATATAAGTATAATAATAATAATAATATTCAATAATAAGTAGAATTTTTACATTTTAGCTATAATAATGTTAAGTGTATTTTAAATTTACACTTTTATATTTTTCAACAAACAAGATAATAAAATGACAAAATGAAAATTTAGATATTTTAATATCTGACACTGGTTTTATTTAAGGTGAAATAAATACCCGACGAGCACTGGATAACGATAATCAATTAGACATACGGAGATAATGGGAGAAATGCCCAAGAAAGGCTGATAAAGCGAACACGGAGACAAACAAGAAATAATAATAATAATAAATAAACGAATTTGATTCAACAAGCGACGTATGCACTTAAGCTCTCGCGTTTATATTCTACTTCTATCAACAAGAAATTCCATGGTTATCTACTATAACGGGATATTCCGAGAAGTATTTCTCTCTTATGTTACCTTTTTCCCCCTTTTACTAATTTGATTTACATAGGATAAAGTGAAATTCGTAATTATAAGGAAGAAATTAGAACCGAATTAAAATTCTTTCCCGCATAATTATGTTAATTTTACATCACATGCAATATTGCAAAATAAACTATGCATGACGTATGATTTTCGATATTAAATAAATATAAAAATTAATGCTTCATCATTATTATCTATCTTATTTACTTATACTAATCTTAGTTCTATTGACTAAAAACAGGAGTTGCCATAAATAATGCAACGATGTAAAGAAATTGTATTGTAAAATCTATAGCAAAGAATAACGTATATGAAATCTTCCAACTGCAATGGTACCGATATTTGCATGGCTCCATCATGTTGCATGATTTGAATTTCGCATGTCGATTCGAAGAAGATTATTTATTAACTGGAGACGACGCGGATCGGAGAATCACGTTCAAATATAAAATTCCACGCGTTTTCATTAAATACAATTTCGTTTTTTCCATTTTTAAGAAGCGTGAGCGTTTTATCAAAAGCGCGATAATTATCACTTCGTATAATTTGTGTGTGTTTAGTTATTATAAATGCAGAAACATTGCATTTCTAACACTTGCTGTAGAACATTACATTTAATCAAATTGCAATCACGATATTTCATGAATGTCATTCCAATCTATTTCATTTAACTTTCATTTATATCTACAAATGTCAAGCAACGTCGAATCAAACATTTATATTTATATTCATGGAAATTACAATGTTATGCAATGTACAGAACAATACATATGGTATCAAATACATCCAAAAATATCATTTAAAAAATTAACAATTTTGTTTTACAATTTATATTACAATTTTCATTTTACGACGCATATGATGTATAATATGCTCGTTCAATAACAAAGATTTTATTCATGTTTTTAATCGTGGCAATTTATAGCAGTATACGCTGCGCGATCAGAAATTGCATCACTAATCGAACGGGATGGCGACTATGAGAAAAAAATGCTCAAATGACAGGATGCATGCATGCTAATTATTCCCTAACGGCTCGTCCATCAATTATCTATTTCGATTATAGGTAAGCGCATCTCGATATCCCGTCGTGGTGAAACTGGGCCACGCCCATGGCGGAACCGGCAAGGCTCGTGCGGAAACGAATCAAGAATTTCTAGATCTCGCCTCGCTGGCAGCTATGGCGAACACCTACTGTACGGCGGAACCTTACATCGACACCAAGTACGACGTACATGTGCAGAAGATCGGAAGCAATTACAAGGCGTTCATGTAAGTCGTAGAACTTTACAAATTCTCAAACATTAGCATTTAAAACGTCGAAAATTAAATATTCAGAAATAATACAGCATAAAATAAATATTCAAGAGAATTTAAAAGAGGCAACGCACTCCTCTGAATTTGGGGTCAAACTTTTCTCTATGAATTTTTAAAACCAAGCTTAATTTTGAAAATTTAGATGAACAAAATAGTAAAGAGTTGAACCGCGTTGTTCCGTACAATACCTAATTATCATATCGTTACTCTGATTTCAGGCGGAAAAGTATAAGCGGCAACTGGAAGTCGAACACAGGCTCGGCCATGCTGGAGCAGCTTGCCGTGAGCGAGCGACACCGCACGTGGGTCGACCATGTGGCGCAATTATTCGGGGGATTGGATATCTGTGCGATTGAATTGCTGGTGGGTAAGGATGGCCGGGAGCACATAATCGAGGTCAACGACAGCGCGCTGTCCTTAATGGGCGACTCCCAGGAAGAGGACCGACGTCACATCGCGGACTTGGTCACAGCGAAGATGCAGGTGCGGGATTGCGTGCGGGACTGCGTGCGATTACGTGAACGCGATTACGACCGAGCCCCCATTACGCGTGAATTATGATTTACGGTTTACAGGTTTATTGTCGACCTCCGAGCGTACTGACGAAGACCGCCTCGCGAGGCTCGATGTCCGGTTCGAGCCAAGTGAGCAGTCCGGTGGAAGATCGCACCGCGCCTCCGACAGCACCCTTAGGATCCCACGGAAGCCTGGGTTCCATGGCTAGCATAGGAAGCTTAGGCTCCGTGGGCACCACCGCGCCGATACAGAGTGACGTCACCTCA